TACCTTTTTAATTCCTGAAAGAATCAGTATTGCTGAACAAATTGATTCTTGAGTGTATCTCCTCTGGGGGGGTCCACAGTTTGAGAACCACTTATGATTTAGTAGATTTTCTCAATAATGAGACACTAGGAACAAAAAGAGAACACTCTAACAGGAACCCAGAATGAGAAAACATTATTTATGAGCCTATTTAGTGGAATGACATGTTCAGATGAAATTGTTCAGAGATCTGCTGAAAAAGGAGAGTCAGTTCAGAAGACTGGACTGTTTACATTAGTGGCCACAACTGTTCCTGGCATTGTTTTACTGCAAAGGTCTGGCCAATCAATTCTGCATTGCTGTGCACTCACAGTTGATTAAAATAGTGTAACAGCACACCTCTGCCCAGCTGGGTTTCCATCACCCGGCTTTTATGAGCATTTTGAAATATCACATCAGATTCGAGAGATGGAAACGCTAAATTTCGAATAAAAATGCCTTAATTCGCAAAAACGTTTTTACGCTCGCTTGAGGTGGTTTTTGGCTTGTGCGAAAACGGGTTAATGCGAATAATGGGAGATGGAAATGCATTTTGCGAATAAATTCCTCCAAGCGCATCAAAAAAGTAATGTGACTTTGCGCTATGGGACAGCAAATCCTGACTAACCAGCGGACCAATCTTGTTCCACAGCATCTGAAATGTGTTGTGTGGTCATTCGGAAATGCCCGAGCAAAGTCTGTCATCAAAGTATTTCTGTATAATTGCCTCCCAGAACTGTTAAACGACTGCGTTCCCAAACAGCAGCATCCACCTCCGAAAGCAATAACCGCATTCATTGTGTTTCGTCTGCTCGTTCTGAGGTGCAAGCAATTTATTATATAGGAAAATTATTATATTCAGTAGCTTCTCCTACTTTTCTTACTGATGTATAGTGCCAGTTTATCAGGAAGTGATGATTTTGTTCTCTTTGACTCGTTGGATGGAAACGGTGCTTGTTCACAAATGTTTTGTGCGATATTCCAATTTTGCGCATAAATTAAATTTGCAACTTTGGATGGAAACCCGGCTCCACACACACACACACACACACAGTCTTCTTCTCTCCCTCACTTTTTCTCTCTTGGAGGTTTGACAATATCCTGGCTCTATCCGACAGAAGTTGTCCTGCCAAGGAAAATGAGCTCTGTTGAAATGGAAAGTCTGAAGTCACTCAGGGCTTTTTGGCAAAAGACAATTACGCAGAGCAGGAGCATCTAGAAGAAATCTGCATCTTGGGGATGGATCCAGAGCAGTGTCTTTGGTTCTGCTCAATTTTTGAGCACATAGTTACTGAGATCAATTTAAAAAGGAGAGGTTTGAGCTTGGAGCTGTATCCCAGAGCTTTGTGAGTAAAGATACAGATGTGTCTGTTATCTAACCAGGGGAGGAAGGAGAAAAGGGAAGAGTGGAGACGAGGGAGATGTTTGTACAGGAGACATTGTGGGTGAGGTTTGAGCCTGGTTATCAGAAGCATGGCAGTGGGCAGGAAGCAGCTCTGACCTGAGGTCACATTCTGATGAAACTTGCCAACTTCCCAGAAAAAAATGTTGAGTCACTGCTTTCTCTCTGAGTGAAAACTACCAAAGATGATTTGCTTTGTTATAGACCTCTACTGATCTGAATAGACATTACATCTAACCTTGGTTGACTAAATATAGGTGCCAACAGATTTTGACATTAGCATGTTACTAAACTAATGATCCAGTACTTTAATATTGACTAACATTTCAATAAATATTGACATAATCATGCTACTAAGCTAATGACTCAATAGCACACACTCAAATAATTGATAATATTGGAATATTGGATAATATTTCAAAATATTCTGATGTTAGCGTGTTGCTAAGCTAATAGCCCAAACACTTCAATAGCCCACCCAAATATTTCAATAGCTGACATAATTGACATTAGTATGTTACTAAGTACAGTAATAGCACACAAACAAATTAGGATAATATTGAAAAAATTGGTAATATTCCAGTAGATTCTGATCTTAGCATGTTGCTAAGCTAATGGCCCAATACTTAATTAGCACACAAAAATACTGGATATTCCAAAACCTAGTGAGCAGCCTTTTTGACAACTCTACATTTGACTCACATTTGTTTTCAATAGATTTTGAGGTTAGCATGTTGCTAAGCTAATGACCCAATACTTTAATACTAATATGCCATTAGGTAAAACTATTTTTCAATACTGATTGAAATATATTTATACAGTAGTTGGTTAGTCTTAGCTGGTTTAAGCTGGATGTTGCTGGTTTAAACTATTAAGCTGGTCTCCCAACCTGACCAAGCTCGTTTTAGCTATAGTCACTAACACAAATAACAAAATAAGAAAATCTTCTTGACCAATTCTGTGTAATGACATTCATCGCAAATTCACTTCATAATTCAGACAAAGTCATCATAACAGGAAATACAGTATACCACAATGACCAACCAACCCCAAACAGCAAAACAAAATTATAATGGTTTCATCTGGGAACTCACAGACGCTTTAAAGATGTTGCATGATGTGTTACTGTACATACAGACATGCGAAGCGGGATGCTGTCGATCATCACCTGGGTGTGGTGTGGACTAATGCTTTAAAGTGGAGCTTTTCTGGTAAGAACACTCATGGGGAAGTGAAGTGTTCTCAGTTTGGTGCCATTAAAGTGGGTTTGGGCGTTCTCTGTCTTGAAAAACCCAGGAACACATGGACAAAGACAGCATTTGGAAGCAGGGATTTTAAGTGGGCACAGCCCTTCAGACTCCACCCGTTTCCTCTGACATCCTGTCTGCCATGGATTACAGGCATGCACTGACACACACACATGTTTGTTTTTGTGAATTGTGGGGACATTCCATAGGCGTAATGGTTTTTATACTGTATAAAATGTATGTGCTATTGCCCTACACCAACCCTACACTTAACCCTACCCCTTAAAGGAAACTTTGTGCATTTTTACTTTCTCAAAAAATCTCACTCTGTATGATTTATAAGCGTTTTGAAAAATGGGGACTTGTTATACCTATGTCATACCCATGTCATTATACAAATTTGTGTCGTCATATGTCACAAAAATGCGCGCACACACACACACACACAAAGAGAGTGAGAGGTAAACTAAGCAGGTCAACAGAAGCCAAAACAGTCAGCAGTTTCCAATCTCTCTAATGAATCTGCGAACGCTGCAGTAATAGGAAGAAATAAGGTAATTTCCAGATATAATCCACCTCCTCTGTTTATCAGTGCTACAGAGTTGTGAGACAGGACTAACCCCATGACCTCCAATGACCAAGGAAGCATTCAAACTTATGCAATACATCTGAATGCTCTTTATGCAAGTTTGTGAGCACATAGCTGCCTGTGCTTCATTCCTGTAGTGTTAGTTTTAGTGTAATTCATGAAGTTGGCATAATAACCAGTGGCATGAGAATTATTTTAAGAATTTGCTCAGTTGTAATTAAGATAAATGACTAATTGTCCACAATAAAAAAAGGGTGGGTATCATGTGATGGGCCATGTTTCTCAAAAATATACACTTTGTATTATTTCCATGCTAGTATCATATTTTTTTAACAGAAAAGTTTAAACTGAATGAAGTAAAACGCTTTCAAACCAAATATAATTAATTATTAAATCATAACTTTTGGGGGAGTCTCACCACATGATGTTTTACAACCTGAGCTGGCCTTGCTTTGTCATAAAAAAGTCAAAATATCTAATATTTGAAGAGTTTTGTAATAAGAACGGGCAGCTTTTCCTAGCTACTGTAATATAATTGACTTTGTATCTTTTTTTCTGATGTTAGTTGAACAACATGACTTTCATTTGCTGGCTTTTCAAATATTAATAATCAGTTGTAAAACTTTTTATTAGAAATTTCAATAAGACATCATGCCAAACTATTTTATGTTTATAAGAATTGTATTCTTTCAATGAGGTTTTTTTCTTTTAAGTTAAAATACACGATCATAATTGAAGAGGTACACTTAAGTCAATTAATGTATGTAACTTTTTTTTTTTAAATCAGTTAATAGATCCTGACAAAAAATGGGTGTCATGCCATTAGCCCATTACCTTCCAATAAATGACTAGATTTATAATGGCATTAAGCAGTTAATTTGTAGTAAATGCTAGCAGAGGGTGATTGTGTAGTAGTGAATATAACAGCGTGTCCATTTGAATTCTAGTAATTTATGCAAGTGTAAATTTCACACCTCTCATTTCCTGCTGTCTGGAAATTGGAAGCTATTTTTTTGACTTTCAGTACTTCAGCATTTCACATTTATATTTACTATAGCAAGGTTTCAATTCTCATTAACAACTGTCAAATAATCCTGCTGTATAATGGTTGTTTCCTTGCTTAAACTACCCATGTTTAATGATGTCTTAACTGAATATAAAAACATGGGCAATGTCAATACAAAGTTATGTATCTTATCATAACTGAAGGAGTAACTAATGTCTTGCCAGATGTCATAAATCGGGATTGTTGCTTTAAAAGAATCTAAAACAAGATCACATGGCACAGTTTGAGTCAGTTGTTTTCAAGCTGCTGTGCTCACAATTGGAGAAGTAAACAGAAAATGATAAATAACGACTAATAGATCGATTTTTTCACAAGTCAAGGCATCTGTTCCTATCTTGAAATACATTGTGAAATGCCTCAAGTAGTACTAATAGTAAACACTTCTCAGAGAATGATATATTAATGCTTATTAAACCGTCTGGCCTGCTCTCTAACATATGTTTATTGTTATCCTCACACAGTCTATCCACTGAACTGTCACTAAGCACAGCTCCTATATGATCTGTGAAACAAATCCAAAGCTGAGAGGTTTTTACTCTGTCGTGTCATCACATTTATACCAAAACATATTTGATTTCTCTGTTCCTCACTATGGCTGACAGTCTGCAGAACAACACAGTGTGATTTAACACTTGAAGTTATTGAAGCCTGACATTGCTTTTCTGCTAACCCTCACAGGAACAGTGCTATCAGGATGTTGATGCTGGATGGGATGCCAGCCCTGCCAGTCAAAATCGATCCTGCAGAGTCACAGAGACGGGTAAGCGGTCAAAGCGATGCCCCACAGGTGTAGTCAGAGGCCTTTAAAACTCAAGATGACATGTGATGACAGTCACACTTTATTTTAAGGTCCAATTCTCACTCCAAATTACTGCTTATTAATAATTAGTAAGGTAGTTGTTAAATTTAGGTATTGGGGATTAGGGATGTAGAATATGGTCATGCAGAATATGTGCTTTATAAGTACTAACAAACAGCCAATATGTTAGTAGTATGAATGCTAATAAGCAACTACTTAATAGTGAGAATTGGTCCCTATACTAAAGTGTTACTGTGATAATTAACCAATATCATAGTCACTCAGTCTGCAACTCACTCACAATGCAAACCAATGCTGTTGTATTAATCCCCCCTAGACCAATCAAAATTGAGGACTGAAACGAACTGTTAAACATGTTCTGGTGGGTAAATATCACATACCTTTCAAGAAAATGTTATAGTCCAACAAACCAACCAACAAACGTACAAATAAATAAATTAGTAATAATTACACATAAAAAGTAAGCCTACATTGAGGACTATATTATTTTTTGTTATAATTTTTATTGAGATATTATCAGGACAATTACTTTTACTATCACCATTAATTTCAGTGATTATTCTCATTACAGTAAAAGTAATCTTTACTTTATTTTAACTTTATGAAAAAAATCAACACAAGTTAAAGGTAGTATACAACAATACTACATTGATGTGTAAATTATTTTTATATTACAATTTACTAAATTTAAGTAGAGAGAGAGAGTATTGCCTGTTATATTTTACTGTACGTGTGTGTACTGTATACATACTATGTTATATATACATGTTATTGTTATTATCATTATTATTATTACAATAATGAGAACATGACAATGAGAATCTTTTGCAGCATTACAATGATAATATTTTGATGTTTATGCAAAATATAATAACTTTTTTTTTTACTTTGGAGTGAAATATCAGGAGGTTTTTCTTAGGAAATCAGGAAATTTCCGTGAGATTCACTATAAGTGACTGTGCTTTACTGTGCTATCTTTAGTGTACTTTGTATTGCTTGACTAGAGGTTTAGTTTAAGAAACAGTAATATTGTGAAATATTATTACAGTTTTTTTCGAATAACGTTTTTTCAGCAGCCATTACTCCAGTCTTCAGTGTCACATGATCCTTCAGAAATAATTCTAATATGCTGATTTGGTGTTTAAAAAACATTTTTGCAGTCAAATATTTTGAAACATTACAAATATCTTTACTGTCACTTTTGATCAATTTAATGATCAATTAATGATTCTTGCTAAATAAAAGAAAAAAGTATTAATTTCCTTCAAAAGAAAAAAATCTAAACCCCCCCCTCCCAACTTTTGAACAGTACTGCGGGGTGACAATGTTCAGACACACACTTTGCTTCTTTTTCATCCGAACACTCTTTATTCCAGTAAGATCACAAAATAAAATGAATGATATACATCCGGTTTAAAGACAGATACAATTTCTTTACAACTTGAACTATCCTTGCCGTGTCAGAGTCAGAGAATTAAATCAAATTAAAAGGAAAAAAAATGTTTTAATGTAAGAGCTGGCAAGTCTTTTTGTAACTGGAAGGCTTCCTTATTTTAGCTGTACAAAAACAGCCTGTTATGCTGCTTGATTCTGCAAACTGGTGTATCATATTATTTTAATTTATTATCATAAACACTGGTTTCTAGCACAAATCGCTTTACTATTTACTGCACTTTGTTATTCTTCTAGTTATTTACCTAATGCAGCTAATGAATCTGAAGTCTCACACACTCACAGAAAATAGCATACCTCATCGTTTCAAAATAAGGTGGATAAAATAGGTCTGAAATATACATTTTAATAAATGAATAGATAGAACAAAACAACCACAAATGAAAGTTCCGTTCTAAACCTGTATTCTTTCTTCTGTTGAACACAAAAGAAGATATTTTAAAGAATGTTGGCAACCAAACAGTTGCTGGTAGCCATCGACTTCCATAGTATGGAAAATAAATACTATGGAAGTCAACGGCTACCAGCAACTTAATAATATCTTCGATTGTGTTCAACAGGAGAAAGAAATTCATACAGGGTTTTAACAACATGAGGGTGAGTAAATGATGACAGAATGTTAATTTTGGGTGAACTGTACCATTAAGGCCATACATATCCATTACAAGCTCCTTTTCATGTAAGGACTCTTAAAACTGAAATCCTGGAATGTTCCTGTTTCAGTGTAAAAGTAATTAATAGTTAACTGATTTTATTCTGTCTCTTTCCTCTCAGTCTCCTGTGATCCATGACTACACAGAGATGGGCGTGCTAGTGTTGAACCGCAGATTTCGGACACCATCAGATGATAGACGATTCCTGTCCGACCCCTTCCAGATGCAAACAGAGCCTGTGGACCTGTCCACTAACAGAGCCAGAACCTCCCCATCACTTTCAGCATCGTCATCTTTATCCTCGTCTCCCTCGTCGTCCTCATCATCAATACGATTTTGTCCACGGTCCCCTCCTTCCAGCAAGTCTGTGTCATCTTCATCACCATCATCATTATCTATGCCTTCAGCCTCCTCCACCTCTGTCATAACCCCCGTTCCTCGTTTGAAGATGTCTCCAGTGGTGGCCTCTCCCCCGTCCAGGTGTCTTAGGGGGCAGTCGTTTTTGCACATACCCCAGCTGATGCCTCCTTGCTCCAGCCCGGTCCACCTCCACCCACGCCGTGTGCCAGTGGTGGTGCAGCCCATGCCGCTGGTCTACCCTGGAGTAGGATCATTGGGAAACAGCAGGCTCATGATGCCGCTGCTGGAGGAAAACAGGATGCACAGGAAAGGTGAGTCAGAAGCTTGTTCACTCAGCTTGATTGTCTCAGTGACCTTATCAAACTGAACTTTGTGTAACATACAAACCTTCTTTTTTTGGTAAATTCCCAACATTATGGCAAAACAAGTGTTGTTATTGTACATGTAATTCAATACTATACAGAATCAATGGAGTTTCACTCATTCCATTCCGTTCAAGTCCTGAAACCATATAACTATTATTTGAAATCATTTTAAATTTTATTTCAGCTAGTTGCCAACTACATTTTTATTTAGTTTAACTTACAGTAATGTACTAAAATAACAAAAACTGAAAAAACTATAGACATTTTAAAAAGCATTAAAATGACAAATACACACAAAATTACTTTTTCCTTAAATTACTAAAACTTTAACTAAAATTATGAGAAAAAAAGAAACATTAACATTAATAAAAACTACAACAGTATCTCAATACTAAAATAACATTTTCTCCACAGTAGAACACTTGAACAAATAAACTTGCAGATTTTGAATGCTCGTCTAAAAGTAAAACATCTCTACATTTGCAAAAACAGAAGGAAAAGTAAAATACAGTATTGTGGATGTTTTTAGAAAGAAGAACAATCGATTTAAATAGTGGTTGTTGTTTTTTTAAATTGACCTATACGTTCATTTTACACATCCCATGATTTTTTTTCCATTATATACAAAGACAACATACATGCAGCAAAAGTTTATTTTAAAAAAAAGGGGAAAAAACATATTAGTCTTTTCCTTTGTTTTAATGGCAATATTTATGACGTCGACTGTCCGCCTTCTTAGATCGCCACATGTAATTTCAGTATTTTCTCATCTTTTGCTGATATATTTAGTGTTTCAACATAGCATGATACAAAAGCCTGTAATGTTTTTCCTTTTTTTTTTTTGGTTAAATAAATCACTGTCACAAGGTCAACTGACAGTATCAAGGCCACTTTTGCTGCAAAATTCATCCTCCTGCAAAGTCTATCACTCTCTTCCTCTCTCCACTTTCCTCCCTCTTTGTCCGTAGGTGCAAAGTACTGTGTTTCAAAGCCTTTCTTGCGAGTTTCCGTGTTCTTGGCAAGATCAGTGACAGAACCCAGAGCCTGGCTGTGTGTTAGACAGGCTCAGCTCTTATGAGTGCAGCTCCATTGTGCTCGTCTCTTTATACTCCTCAAAACAGGCAGCCACTACATCCATGCAGGAAGTTGATGTTATGGCAAAAACTTCGCTCAGCTAAATGAGGGCACCTGGGTTTATTAGTGACAAAGTGTATGGCGGAAACACAATAGTAACTGTGATAAGAGGCATTTTTAAAGATACTCAAACCCTTTTTTCTATCTAGGAAAGCTTGCCTATGGGCAACAGAGCTGTTTTAATGGGCTCTGTGGCTAGGAAGCCTTTCCATTTATTTTTTTGTACTCTTTTTCATCCTGTTTTTCTCTGGGGGGGTATAGATAGAGGCTGGAGATGTCCTATGTCATATAACTCTCTCTTATGTCCTGTATTAGTGTGTGTGTTATGTCTTTTAACATAATTGATAGCTCTTTCTGCTATCAACTGACCAATCAGAGAAGGGCATTTTTCGACATCAGAAGCATACAGTGTGTGCAAACAAGCAGGTTGACACATAATTAGGCCTGTGCATTTCACACTTTGATGATCCAATTTCAGTTCATTAAAAAACATTCAAGATTCACGAACAGAGACCAGCCCCCTATCTTGAGGGTCCATGCCCTTATGCTCTGCAGTCTCTCATGAAGTCTCCATGGCAACAAGACAACACATGGAATGACACGAATACAACGGAGACCTTTGAAATTGCTATTACAACCGATTAAAACAAAACAAACCAATACAAACATGCCCAGCTATCTTATTGCAAGAACAGAGTGAACTATATTCTGTCATTCGTTTGAGTAAGGAATAGATAAAAATTTATTAGCATTTGTTCTTGAGATTCTAATAACAAAACATCAAAACATCAAAGCTGCAAAGGTTAGATAGTGGAGGTTTAGATTATCAGTGTTTAATCACTTACATTACATTTACATTTAGTCATTTAGCAGACGCTTTTATTCAAAGCGACTTACAAAAGAGGACAATAAATCAGTCAAAACTAACAAAAGAGCAACAATATATAAGTGCAAATGACAAGTCTTGGTTAGCCTACACGCTTAAAAATAAAGGTGCTTCACGATGCCATTGAAGAACCTTTTTGTCTAAATGGTTCCATAAAGAACCTTTAACATCTGAAGAACCTTTCTGTTTCACAAAAGGTTCTTTGTGGGCGAAAGAAGGTTCTTCAGATTATAAAAAGGTAAGAAAGAGATGGTTCTTTAAAGAACCTTTGACTGAATAGTTCTTTCTGGAACCAAAAATGGTTCTTCTATGGCATCGCTTGAAGAACCTTTTGAAGCACCTTTATTTTTAAGAATGTAACGCAGTACATGTAGCAAGATATATATATTATACACACACATATACATACACTCACACACACACACACACAAAGAAAAACAAGTAGATAGAATAGAAAAAATAGAAAGCTAGTGTTTTTTGTTTTGTTTTTTTAATTAAAAAAAAGAAGATAAATAGATGAAGTAGAATTAAAATAGAATAGAAAGTGCTAGAGTTATAGGGTCAAATAAAGATGGAACTGTTTTTAGTCATTTCTTGAAGATGGCTAAGGACTCAGCTGCTCGGATTGAGTTAATTTATAATAATGTACGCATTTAGCAGACACTTTTATCCAAAGCAACTTACAGTGCATTCAGGCTATACATTTTTTATGTGCTCCCTGGGAATTGAACCCACAACCTTTTGCCTTGCTAACGCAATACTCTACCACTGAGCCACAGAAATAACTTGAGTTGGGCAGGTTATTCCACCAGGAGGGAACAGTTAATGTAAAAGTCTGTGAAAGTGATTTTGTGCCTCTTTGAGATGGCACAATAATGTGTCGTTCACTTGCAGAATGCAAGCTTCTAGAGGGCACATAACTCTGAAGTAATGAATTTAGGTAAATGGGTGCAGAGCCAGTGGTGGTTTTGTAGGCAAACATTAATGCCTTGAATTTTATGCGAGCAGCTACTGGTAGCCAGTGCAAATTGATGAACAGAGGTGTGACATGCGTTCTTTTTGGCTCATTAAAGATTAATCTTGCAGCGGCATTTTGGATTAATTGTAGAGGTTTGATAGAAGTGGCTGGAAGACCTGCAATGCTTGCAATAGTCCAGCCTGGATAGAACAAGAGCTTGAACAAGGAGTTGTGTTGCATGTTCTAAAAGAAAGGGCCTGATCTTCCTAATGTTGTATAAAGCAAATCTGCAGGACTGGGCAGTTTCAGCAATGTACCTATCTGAGAGGTAAGACTCAAACCACTGGCGTGCAGTTCCTGAGATGCCATTTTCTGATAGGGTTGACAGGAGAATCTGGTGGTTCACTGTATCAAAAGCAGCGGACAGATCCAGCAAGATAAGTATATAAGATTTGGAAGCCGCTCTTGACAGTCTTAGAGCTTCAACAATTGAAAGCAAGGCAGTCTCGGTTGAATGTCCACTTCTGAAGCCAGATTGGTTGCTGTCCAGGAGGTTGTTCTGTGTGAGAAAGGCAGAGACTTGGTTGTACACAACTCGTTCAAGTGTTTTTGCAATGAGAGGTAGAAGGGAAACTGGTTGATTTAATCAACTGTAAATCAGTGTTATTTTAGTATTATTATATACTAGTATTTATTAATATTTTAAATTGGCTTTTATGTTTAATTTAGGTTAGCTTTTGTCCATTTGAATTGTTTTTGTTTGTTAATATTCCTGTTTAGCTTTCAGGTTTAGTTTTAGTAATTTTAGTACTTAAACCAATGTTGCCAGGCCAAAAATTTCTAATTTGTGTTTAAGTTTTTCATTTAATGTTTATATTTTATTTCAGTTAACACAAACTATTTTTAATGCTTTTAGTTTACAATAGCAACACTGATGTCAATTAAAACTTAAATTTTGATCTGTTCATCACACAAAGGTATTGTATGACTACATATAACTTCATATGCTTTAGTGGTGCTTGCATTGGTCTCTATGAATTGTTGTGTGTCAAAAGAAAATCTCTGTGACAATTATTTTAAAACATTGTTTTTGGAGTTCCACTGGGGGGAGGGGGGGTACATTTTTGCTTACGGAAGGACATGAGGATGAGTAAATGAATGGGTAAACTATTTATTTAAAGGAAACTCTCTGCTGTCTACCAAAGCCTTTATTACAGTTTTTCTCGTTTGCTAACACACAATTCATGAAACAATTCACAATTTTCTCACAACTATAAACACAATCTCAAAACTACACACCAACTTATGCAAACTTCAAAATCAAATACTTTAGTCAAAAACATGTTCTCTTTTGTCAGACTCAAACTTTGGCCTCAGATGACACACAAACATGCCAAATACACAGACTATTTTCCTGCCTAGAGAACACTAGTGAGATCAATTCAAAACACTGTTACAAAAACCTCATTTTGGGAAATAGGAATCCTTTTGCTAGTCAATGACTATTACAGTATAAGATATAAATTGAGGGGTCCAGATACAGTAAAATTTTGCAATAAACATGATCATCAGGATGGAATGAGAGGTAGAGTTGAGTGTCATCAGCATAGCAGTGATATGAGAAGCCATGTTTCTGAATGACAGAACCTAGTGATGCCATGTAGACAGAGAAGATAAATGGTCCAAGAACTGAGCCTTGAGGCACCCCAGTAGTTAGATGTTGTGACTTGGACACCTCACCTCTTCAAGATACCTTGAAGGACCTATCTGAGAGGTAAGACTCAAACCACTGGCGTGCAGTTCCTGAGATGCCATTTTCTGATAGGGTTGACAGGAGAATCTGGTGGTTCACTGTATCAAAAGCAGCGGACAGATCCAGCAAGATAAGTATATAAGATTTGGAAGCCGCTCTTGACAGTCTTAGAGCTTCAACAATTGAAAGCAAGGCAGTCTCGGTTGAATGTCCACTTCTGAAGCCAGATTGGTTGCTGTCCAGGAGGTTGTTCTGTGTGAGAAAGGCAGAGACTTGGTTGTACACAACTCGTTCAAGTGTTTTTGCAATGAGAGGTAGAAGGGAAACTGGTTGATTTAATCAACTGTAAATCAGTGTTATTTTAGTATTATTATATACTAGTATTTATTAATATTTTAAATTGGCTTTTATGTTTAATTTAGGTTAGCTTTTGTCCATTTGAATTGTTTTTGTTTGTTAATATTCCTGTTTAGCTTTCAGGTTTAGTTTTAGTAATTTTAGTACTTAAACCAATGTTGCCAGGCCAAAAATTTCTAATTTGTGTTTAAGTTTTTCATTTAATGTTTATATTTTATTTCAGTTAACACAAACTATTTTTAATGCTTTTAGTTTACAATAGCAACACTGATGTCAATTAAAACTTAAATTTTGATCTGTTCATCACACAAAGGTATTGTATGACTACATATAACTTCATATGCTTTAGTGGTGCTTGCATTGGTCTCTATGAATTGTTGTGTGTCAAAAGAAAATCTCTGTGACAATTATTTTAAAACATTGTTTTTGGAGTTCCACTGGGGGGAGGGGGGGTACATTTTTGCTTACGGAAGGACATGAGGATGAGTAAATGAATGGGTAAACTATTTATTTAAAGGAAACTCTCTGCTGTCTACCAAAGCCTTTATTACAGTTTTTCTCGTTTGCTAACACACAATTCATGAAACAATTCACAATTTTCTCACAACTATAAACACAATCTCAAAACTACACACCAACTTATGCAAACTTCAAAATCAAATACTTTAGTCAAAAACATGTTCTCTTTTGTCAGACTCAAACTTTGGCCTCAGATGACACACAAACATGCCAAATACACAGACTATTTTCCTGCCTAGAGAACACTAGTGAGATCAATTCAAAACACTGTTACAAAAACCTCATTTTGGGAAATAGGAATCCTTTTGCTAGTCAATGACTATTACAGTATAAGATATAAATTGAGGGGTCCAGATACAGTAAAATTTTGCAATAAACATTAAGAAAAGTTTACTGTCATTACACTACTGTAAAGAGATCTTACAGTAAATGAAACTGGGGGGAGGGGGGGTACATTTTTGCTTACGGAAGGACATGAGGATGAGTAAATGAATGGGTAAACTATTTATTTAAAGGAAACTCTCTGCTGTCTACCAAAGCCTTTATTACAGTTTTTCTCGTTTGCTAACACACAATTCATGAAACAATTCACAATTTTCTCACAACTATAAACACAATCTCAAAACTACACACCAACTTATGCAAACTTCAAAATCAAATACTTTAGTCAAAAACATGTTCTCTTTTGTCAGACTCAAACTTTGGCCTCAGATGACACACAAACATGCCAAATACACAGACTATTTTCCTGCCTAGAGAACACTAGTGAGATCAATTCAAAACACTGTTACAAAAACCTCATTTTGGGAAATAGGAATCCTTTTGCTAGTCAATGACTATTACAGTATAAGATATAAATTGAGGGGTCCAGATACAGTAAAATTTTGCAATAAACATTAAGAAAAGTTTACTGTCATTACACTACTGTAAAGAGATCTTACAGTAAATGAAAAGCACTACAAGAGAAAAGTTCAAAGACCAAACAACTGAATATACATACTGAGTAAACACACATTGGAGAATACTGTCAGTTACTTTACAGAAATAAATAATGAATGAATGAATTCATTCATTCAGCATCCTCTGCCAAATTGTATTACAGTACTGGTAAAATCCTTATTTGTTACAGTTTTTCTCAATTGCTAACACACTATAACTGATTCGTTTGGCACAATTTTCCAACCATTCATACAGTTCCTGAAACAAAGACACGTTTCTCAAAACCGTTAACATATTTCACCTGTTTTCACAAACGCTCCAATTTGCTCAGTGTTTTCAGCTAAACTCTACACAAGAACGGCATCATTTTGGACAGGTTTAACCATGTTCTCATTTAGAAAACACAAACTCACAATATAACTACCTCAAGAATCACAAAATGAACACAAATAGCACACATTTATCCATGTGTGAACATTAAGTAGCAAAACTGATGACACACCAGTCAGAATCTCAGGATGATAAAAAGGAGCACAAGTGATTATGTGATTTGGAAAATTAATCCTACTAGTGGGAGACAAGGGTAAAAGAAAAGAACTGAAGGGAACGGGGTCAAAGGACATTTATTCTTGATGAAATACACAGCACTATAGTTGATCATGTTCTTGTGCATGAGGACAGCTGGCCTACAGGCTCATCTACAGGCTTTCAATACTACTTACAGATCAAATATAATGACAGAACAGTAGCAGTACTTCAGATGAGATAACTTTTACTTTTTATGTATGTATAGTAAATACTGAAGCACAAGTTGTACACCCTCAAACTCATACTGTAACTGCTGAACTGATTTGTAGCCAAGTACAGTACTTCTTACATGTACTGTATTTTTGCAGAACTAAGAGATGACTCTATATTCTGTTGTGTTCATATGCAATTCTTTGGTATTTGACCTTTTCCTTTCTAGTGCTTTTCATCTACTGTACTGTAAGATCTCTTTACAGCAGTGTAATAGAAATAATATTTTCTTACTGTAAACCTTATTGGTTAATTTCACTGTATCTGCTATATTTACTGTAACATGTATCTGCTCTAATTATGTTGTATACTGTAATAGACATTGAGCTGAAAAATGATACCTGATTGCCAAAAGAAGGTTTTTGCAACAATGTTATGAACTGATCTCATTAGTGTGTAAGACTATGTTGTTGTGTGTGTGTTTCTGAGGGCTTGTGTGTCATGTCTGAGGGCGAAGTTTGTTTGTTTTTTCAGCAAGATTGAATAGTTTTGAGTGGAGAGCTTCATTTTGACCTGAAAATAGGAAGTATGGGGAATTGGGTGAGAAGTTATGGATTTGTGTTTAGAGTTTCAAGAAAAGGAGTCACAATTTCAAGAAATGTGTTTAAGCAATCGAGAAAAACTGTATAGCAATTTCTAAGTCTTCTGACAAAAGACTTCTCTGCCTCCCCTAGACAATCATCTCTCAGTTCTGCACAAATACAGTACATACTTGGCTACAAATCAAGTCAACAGTAATGAGTTTGAGGGTGTACAACATCTACTACAGTATTTACTGTACATAGAATAATGAACATTCTCTCATCTGAAGTACTGCTACTATGTACTGTAATTATATTGTATGTGTAAGTAGTACTGAAACCTTGTAGATGAGCCTGTAGGCCAACTTCCCTCATGGTCAGTCCATCCAGAAGAACATGGTCAACTATAGTGCTTTGTATTTCATCAGGAACAAATGACCTTTGACCTCACCCCCTTCGTTTTTATTTTCCCCTCCTATTCCTCTTTGTTTCCCACTACCAGGATTCATTTTCCAAAACTCATAATCACTTGTGCTCCTGTGCATATCTTCTTAAGATTCTGAGTGGTGTGTCATCAGTTTTGCTACTGAATGTTCACACATGGATAAATGTGCGCTGTTTGAGTTTATTTTTTGATGCTTGAGTTAATTGTATTGCATGTTTGTATTTTCGGAATGAGAACATGGTTAAACCTGTGCAAAATGATGGCGTTTTTGTGTAGACTTTTGCAGAAAACACTGAAAAAAAAAATGGAACGAGTGTGCAAACAGGTGAAATGTGTTAAAAGTTTTGAGAAACGTGTCTTTGTTTTGAGAACTGTATGAATGGTTTGGAAAATTTGGCCAAATGAATCAGTTATAGTGAGTTAGCAATCGAGAAAAACGGTAAAACATTAATCAAAGTGTCATTAGATTAGAATCTTAATAGTTTGGTTCAATGTGTCAGTGCTATGGTCCTAGAATAATAATGAAGAGGCAGTGTCCACATAACTGAATCATTATCATCAAACACAAGCATTTCAAAGGTGTCTTTAACTACGATGTACTTATGTAAAAAAAAATAAAAAAAAAATAAAAGTAAGGTACAATCATGTGCTTATTGTGTTTATGTTGTATTATAAAACACTTTTACTGCTATTGGAGTGGGATACAGTTAAGGTTTGGGACAGGTTTGTTTAAGAATAAGGGTGGATTAAAGGGGAAAATGTGGGGTCGACAATGTAGTTATAGACATAACTATACATAAATTAGTTACATATGTAAATACAAGCAGGTATTTTTTTTAAATATTAGTGCAATGTAAAACATGTAAGCACTTTGTGTCTATTATTAATTTAAATGTGAATGCATAGTAGTTAAAGACACTTAATATGAGTCCAATTATATATATATATATATATAATATATATATATATTCTTTTTTTTTGCAGATTGTAGGTTAACTCTGAAGGTTTAAGAAATGATTTGGTCATATGTGAGTATTGTAAATTCAACTACACCAACCTTCTGTTTTTATCCAGTCATGCACCGAATCGCAGATGGACTGTCACCTCGGCGATCTTTGAGTGACAGCGAGGATGATGACCTGCCCAACGTGACCTTGGAGAGAGTGAATGAAACAGGATCCACTGCCCTGACTATCGCCCGTGCTGTGCAAGAGTAAATACACCTTCATTAAGCTGCAATATTTACAATCCAATCCTATCTATCATTATGATATATGATGGTAATTTTCAGAGCTCACTCTGTGCATGATATGATGTCCAGGATGACAAAAATCATAGAAATAAGATTATAGACTGTGACAGGGACCCAAGCACTCACAAGGAGAATCACATTGAGATGTAAACACGGGAGCGATGCTGGCATCCAAAGAGGTGTTTATTTGAAGCAGATGTACAAAATGTGCAAATAAATATGTTTAAGAGCATAAAAACAGTACCAATTCCCCTCTACACGACTGAGACCGGAGTTTACCACTCAAGCAGCGCTACAATAACCTTGTTCAACTTGCTCTTGACAATCTGTCCACTAGTTCCCCTTGCTATTCGTGACAGTCAACTTATATAAACATCTTTTCTGCTCTTACTAAATGGAATATACCATTTTTATAAAATAAACTCATCTCTCCATCTGATTAATAAATAAGTGCATAAGATAATTAAGAACAGTTAAATCCCACATAGGTACACACAATAGAAAGGATGGATAAAACCAAAACATACTGTATATTTCCATAAATCAGCTAAAATTTCCTTTAAAGCCCTTCCCACTCTGCTAAAACAGGAAATATACACCAGCAAACCCAACGTAAATATAAACAAATTAATTCAAATAAAAAATGCACAAGAACAGTAAGAACACAATAAAAACAGTGATGGAAGCCAACTTCAAGGACTCTCCATCACATAGATATTTAAAAGTAAACAGATATTTTAGACATTTTAAATGAGTGTGAGTGAATGAGTGAATGATCTTTTTAAATAAAGAATTGGATATGGCATTGTCAGCATTATTAGAAAGCAAGTAGGGACAAAGGCAAACGGTTGGCAGTGCTGTGTAAATGATTCTGGAAAGGACAAAAAAAACCAGTAGTGAATATTAGTGTGAAAGAGAAAGTGTGTCTGGGAGTGTTGTTTATTTGACCTGTTGGTTCTTAAATCAATAAGGATTTGATCCAGTGAGTCATGTAGTGTTTGTATACATACTGTGCAGTTATAGTCGAGCGACAAAATTTGAAATCTGGCAAAACCACCCTGGAGACATGGGGGAAAACTGGAAAAACTATTCATAAATAATTCCATTAATATTTTTGCTTTGTTATTGTATTATTTTTGTTTTTACAATGTGCTATACTTTCTCCAAAAGGGGGGGGGTACAAAAGCTGTCACTGGGATGGCACCCTTACTCTTAAAAGGTGCATATTAGAACTGTAAATTTACATATAAGTACCTAGATGGTACATATTAGTACTTTTTGAAAAGGTGACCAGTGACCGCTTTTTTACCTTTTATTCTGGGCGTGTATATATCTTTACATGTTTGGCAGATGCCTACCTGATTTAAAGCATATTCAGGGTAAACATTTCGCGAGTATTTTCGTTCCCTTGAAATGGAACGGATTACCTTGTTTAACCAGTTGAGCGTCAGGAACTGATTTCAGTCTGAGAGGGAGTGTGTGCTTCAGGTTGAATGTGTTGTGGACACAGGTGCAGGAGTGAACTTTTCCACGACATTCTAATTTATTGAGATGCACCTGTATCCCCTGACCCATGATCAGCTAGTGAATAATGAATGACTTTATTATTATATTAAACTGATAAACTGGTCTCCAAGCAGTGATGCTGCCCTGCACGTAACCACAACTGGAAAGCCCCTCTGGTGTTCTCCAGTGGGAAACATACAAACAAAAGACGGAACATTAATGACTGTGCTGAGTTTAGTCTGACGGTAGCTGCTGTTTCCCTCCCTGGTTCTCTCTTGTTGACAACATTGTAACGTTGATTCTTACTGTAAAACTAGATGGAGTTCCTCTGACCTCGGACTAAAAATTCCAAGCCGCATATGAGCACATAATGAAATGTGGAAAATAGTGACAGCATTTTAAAGAATGTAGATATTGTTTAAAGGGGGATAAAAGATCTAGGATGTTTTCTTTCTGTCTTTTCCTCTTTGGGCCCCAAAAGTGATGGAGTGTGCCAAAAGCTACAGGTACCCCTCGTTGACCCCCCTCCACACACACATACACTCACAACCTCCACTCCTGCTACCCAAAAGAAACAGGAAGTGGCTCTGTGGGGGGTGAAAATGCCTCTTCTGCCACTCAGAAAACATTTCCAATGAAAAGTAGGCTTGCCATCTAATTTATCCTGACAAAAAAATAAAACTGAGTTCAAGAAAAGGCAGATTTCCCTGATACCAAAAGTATGCACAGTAAATGTTAGCTATTAATTTCCCTAAATAAACAATTGATATTCTCTTTTGATCTTTAAATGATAAATAATGTAAATAATAATGCAAAATGTTAGATTTCTGCAAAATTTTATTTACATTTCTGAACCACTAGCGCCACCAAACGGAAGTACAAAAATAATGGCTTTTCATACAGTTTTTCTAAACACTCTTCGCCATATTTGCTATTTGTCAACCAAATTGGTTAAGCCAATATTGCTATGTTGGACTGGTTGGCATATTCAAACTTATTCTTAAACAAGAATCTTTTTTTCTGCTCTGTTAGTAAACACACCATGCAGGCCTAAATGAACTTAATTGTATATGTATTAAGAAAAAAGATTAATAGATCTGCTGCACACTAGGAACATGCAACCTCTTTTAATATTAGCTTGTCCGTCTGTGGAAATATCGCCACAGAGATCCACTCTGGTTTTGTGAAATTTTAAGGGAATCAAAGAACTACTGGTATAGTTATGGTTGACTGCAGAAGAGAAAACATCGAAAAAAAATTATTGTCTGACTCGCTCCTGGAGGGCCGGTGTCCTGCAGAGTTTAGCTCCGACCCTAATCAAACACACCTGAACCAGCAGGTGTGTTGAGGAAAGTTGGAACTAAACTCTGCAGGACACCGGCCCTCCAGGAGCGAGTTTGGTGACCCTGGATTATTAGCATAGCTCCCTCAAGTGGTGATTTAAAGTAAAGAAGTAAATATTTATATTTTCTGATTTGTTTACATGCAGTAAGTATAATAAACATTGCAAATTTGCTGATAATTAATCAATTTAATGTGTGTGTGTGTGTGTGTGTGTGTGTGTGTGTGTGTGTGTGTGTGTGTGTGAGTGAGTGAGAGAGTGAGTGAAAAACAATCATACTAAACAAAACTGTCTTCAAATGATATCTTTAATTCAAAATCATGCTGTCATTGCAGTTCCCTGTTGCCGTTCAGCATTGAGAGCCTGCGGAGGCCCCGTCCTTCAGAGTCACCTGACTCAAAGAGGAGGCGCATTCACAGGTGTGAGTTTGAGGGCTGCAATAAGGTTTACACCAAGAGTTCTCATCTTAAAGCCCACAGACGCACACACACAGGTTAGTCAGCCTACATTTAGGCCTACATCAGGTCACGTTTTGAAAAAAGTTATGTTCTTGTAAGGTCCTTTCTTTCTTTCTTTCTTATATATATATACATACAAAATGTATAGTATTTTACAGGGAACCCAGTGACTAAAAATCATGAGTGTAAATGATCGTCAAATGGGCATTCCTTTTTATTTTTTTCTCTTCTACAATGATGTATCTGTAAATTATGTTATGGTAAACATTTCAGTTTTATATGGATTTAACTGTGAATTTATACATAAATACAGTATATGTTAGAAAAAGGCATGAATAAAAGCACAGATTTGTATGTACAGAAAAGACTTGTGTGACTTTAAAGACCATACAAAGGCCCAAACACATATGCCTCATGAAGTTCAGAGACAACGTGATAATCTTACTGGACAGAACAGAATATAAAAGAGCAATTATAACTGATCAAATAGAACATTGATGGATTTATTTATGTATTTATTTATTTTAAGAATTCTGGTACATACTGGAATGACACTATTTCGGCAAAATGCATATTTCTTCATTGACAGCCATTCAGAAGACTTCAGAGTTCAAAGACTATATTCCAAAATAATTTTATTTCATCAAGTAATATATAAATTGCAAATATCTAATTATATTATAGTAGATGTTTTGTAAATAACTTATTTTTGAATGGTCATAAAAGCATAACATTGACTTATATTTTTGGCTTCGACAAGAGACAGGCATCTTACACCACTGTACGTGTCTTTTTAGCCTTACCTCTATATATACTGCATAGACAGCATTTTTTTAAGCTACACTGAGTGCCTAGGTCGCATATTTTACCTGCCAGCTGAGCAGCCGCCAATGAGACAGCTAATGATTGGTATACTGCTTTTCTTTTTTTCTTCTTTTTTCATTGCAATCTTTAGAACAATGAACATACAAGGGAAATAAGTAACATATAAATGACATCAAAACAAATACAATAAGCAAAAACAATTAAAAAAAAAATTTATGGAAAGCAATAAGAAAATCACGTGCATAAACAAGTACAAATAGTTATTGCAAATTATTATTATTATAAGAATAGATTTAAAACTTTAAAATAATTTCTTTTTATTAAATTTTTTTTGCTTTGTTATTTCTTGTTTCTTTTAATGTGTGCAGGTAGTGACCTATTTCTATTTTAAAATGAGTCAAATTTACATTTACATTTGTGGATAAATAATTTTCCCTATATAATGAGTACATTCACAATGTACCAAATTTTGAAGTGAACAGTATACTCGTAAAAAATAAAACATCCTTTTCTTTGAGATGCAATTCAATCTTAGTACTTTTCAAAATCAATTTTTACAAATCACACCAAAATAGTTATTTTTAAATAATACAATCATAAAATAAATGGACAATACTCTCATTTTATGAAAGGCTTTTCTTAAGCCTTAGGACTTCCTTAGACGCCCCTGGAGCCACACTAGGCCTATGTGTAGGCTAATATTTTACACTTTGATATTTTACAATAATATACAATTATTATTATTTATATTATTATAAAATACGTTTCTTGAAGTGTATTCATACTGAAGGCCATACCTTACGGTACATTTTTTATAAATATTGTACTTCTTCAATTCACCACAAGGTTGCAGCAGTATTCCAATGTTAACAGACTTCTTGTCATCTGTTCTAAACTGGACTTCATCATGCAGGTCAGTTCACGACACTCGATTTAACCTTTAACCCACCTTTACCCTGACTATGACAAACATTTTAACGACATGCCATCCGACAGTCTATTTTTTTATAAATATTGTACTTCTTCAATTCACCACAAGGTTGCAGCAGTATTCCAATGTTAACAGACTTCTTGTCATCTGTTCTAAACTGGACTTCATCATGCAGGTCAGTTCACGACACTCGATTTAACCTTTAACCCACCTTTACCCTGACTATGACAAACATTTTAACGACATGCCATCCGACAGTCTAGTGATCAAGAAATACCTTCTTTTTTTGTCCCTTTGTTATTAGTGCAGGTGCATGGCCTAAATCACCCTGCACCTGCAGGTTTCATATTAGCATATTGGCACAAAGTATTTTAATTAGAGATTAAAACTGTCATAACTACCCCTTATATATGAAAAAGACAAACTCTTTCATCATTTTGTTTGGTTTAGTTATACCCCGGAATATAACAAAAATGTTCAGTTTTGCTTAATGGCACAGTGCACTTTATTAACATTAGAACATTCATGTGGCATTTATCTAAAAGAATGCTTAAATTCTTTATTTCAAGAGAAAAAAAACCTTTTACAAAATGGAAATCTGTTTCTGTAGTAATACATTTCTAGTAATATAGCCTATCATTGACGTATGTGGTAATCTTTTTTAAGAAGGGTGCCTTTGTGTTTGTTTTCCTGTGGTATGTTAGAGATGACCTTTAAATGTTGATTTAAAGCCGGTTTAACTGAATTTTTTCTTGTCATGATTTGAATGGAACTCCACTTGTCCGATGACTTTCCTGCTATATGTAGCATTGATTCTACTGTATGTTGCAAATTATTTGTTATTATTTTAGCTCTTTTTGAAAAGAAAATCGACACATATTAATGCGTTACAACACCTAATAAAAGCAAAGCCTACTTCATAACTGCAGCTTCACGAAGCTGTTTTGCGTCAAGCTCTAAGGCAGTGTCACACTTCCACAGCCGTCGGTAGGACAGGCGGACACACTGAGTGTGTTTGTGTTGGTTGGAAATAGATCCTGCATGTCTCAATCAGTCATCTCCCTCTGATCTGAGAGGATGAGCAACATAATATTGAAATATAAATAAAATATAGTTTATCTGACAGTAAAAACAGCAGTAAGGCTTGTTGTTCCCCTTTCCTCTGCCTCATAATCCAAACAAAAGAATCTCTGTCATAACACAACCGCTGAGCACTCTTCAAAACAGAAAGAGAGAGAGAGATTGAGTGTGTATGTGTATGTATATGAAAAAAAGACCTAGGCAGGATGTTCATATTTTAGTTGGCACGGGCTTTGCTCACTTGCTTTATCTCTTTAGGATTAATATATATATATATATTAATCCTAATATATATATTATATATATTATTATATATATAATTTTGGCTCTTGACAAATTATCCAAAACTCAAATTCTGATTCTGACTTTGTTTATGCCTCCGAAAAAATTGTGCACCAGTGATCAAAAGGTGCTCTTATGTAAGTACCATTAAAAAAAACAACCGATGCCAACGCCATATAACGTGCAGAAGCAAACGCACGAGGTTCAGCGAAGCATTTGCAGGTTTGAGCAAGAATCAGGTGTCCTTGTGCAAGTCTCTGGTGCAATGCTACAGGTTTCACAACAGACCCCAGGGTATTAGGAGAATGCCAAGAGAACAAAACGTGATTGCAGTACTTGCACTGCCGGCTGCCAGACTCCACAAAGTCTCTGTCATATTTTGGTCACAATTATAATGATCCCATTGCAGCAAAATTACACCCAGAGGTTCAAAGGCTGATAATTGTAAAGGTGTGCTTTTTAAAACTTGAAGGTTTTATCGAGAGAGAGAGAGAGAGAGAGAGAGAGAGAGAGAGAGAGAGAGAGAGAGAGAGAGAGAGAGAGAGAGAGAGAGAGAGAGAGAGAGAGAGAGAAGGAGAGAGTAAATGTTTGCAGGGTGCCTCAAAGAATGTTTTTGAAGTCAAAGTTATAACATATTCTGAAGTTTTCTGCCCTATCAAAGACATTTAAATCCATATGATAAACAATAGTCTGATGTATTGAACACTGAAAGGCTGCACGCTACTTTACAGTGAGCTTAAATAGTGGCGAAATGACACATAAGAACACAATGCAATTTTTAACTGCAGTGTCACAAGCTTTTCCTGTCTCTGGCATTCGGCAAACCAGCCCTGTAACTGACGCCTGTAACCACACCGTAAACTTTGGAGTGAAACCATTTATAACCAGTAACAGAATTCTTTTAGAGATCGTGACATAATGTTCCAAAGCCACTGTCTTCTGGGTAACCGCTGAGCAGCTAAACAAACACAGTCGTATTATTGTTTACTTCCCATTTACTCCCAATACAGGCAGTTCTGAGACTGCATTTATAATACAGCTAATTGACCTTGGGGGAAGGGAGCTCTGGTAAATATTTGGCAATTCCTCTTTGTGTCAGGAACATAAAGGCATATTTGTCAGAGGAAGCTGCCGTTATTATGGCTTTGTAATCGTGAAGTGTTCACATTTGCCATGCATGGTGAGATTTTGGAGCAGCTCACATGAAAGCTGTCGGTGTAATGATCCACAGCAAATGGTAGTGACAAGGTGAGGAAATGAGAAGGGTGGTTGTATCTGGAGACTATGGCTGATTGACAGCATTTTTTTTTTTCTCTCATCTTTTTCTGTCTTTTTTTCCATATGAATGTTCCCACGGAAGTGAGGGAATCCCTGCCCAGAAACAGAAAGTTTCTGTCTAAAGAGAGATGCCACATATCCCTGCCTTTTTTCCTGTGTTCATGCATCATCCTTGTTGACTCATCCACCTCCACCAAATACGCTGCTTTTTTCTGATTAGCAGGGTATTCCATGAAGTTATTCAGCTAAAAACTTTTGCCATGCTGGACAAAGGTGAGTGAACTCACCAACCATATATATTTCACACTGGCCAATTATTTTATATAATAAAATGATCAATAAATGAATAATACATATTTTTTTATATTTTGAAATATTGTAATGAAATAATATCAAATAATTTTATTTGTATATTTATATTTTGGGGTATTTTTGACACTTCTTTTGATATTTCTTAAAAATAGCTCAGGTAATTGCAATGCCTGCAAAATCATATACTTTAGGAGATTTTTTCAGTAAAAATGCACCTTTCAGAAAACACAAAAATATGTTAATAATATTATATTTTTGTTTTGGTTTCTTAATGTTATGAATGCTCCACATATGTGTTACAACAAGAAGTCCTTGTAAAAATCGACATAAAC